TTTATTTTTGATTTGCATACTCATAAAAAATTTTTAAATCCCTGCAATGTTTCAATTATGTTTTCTTGGTTCTCACGCACTTATTTTGATTCTTATTTAGAATAGCCTACACTTCTTGAAATTAGTCTTTATTATTTATCCTTCAAGTAGATGATTTCCTTTCTCATAATCTTTATTGCTTTCCCCATTTCCTTTGAATTTTCTAAAGACTGCTAAAGTTTATCTTCTATGTGAATGATTTAATTTTCTGGGCATTTAGTTTTTTATTACCTCCACTTCAGACGATTTTAATCTTACCATTAATATATGAGTTTCCTAGTCCTCCTTATATCCCTTTTCATCTCATCTTGTTTATTTCTCATGATTTTCTACTTCCATTTTATAGAAGCTGTGTTTAATGAAGGTTCCAGTTTTCTAAAATTTTCTTCTGTGCTTTGCCATAAATCATTATTTCATTGTTACATTTGTCCTCTGAATGTTTAAGATGTTATCTGTTCCTACATTCTTCACTAGAGTTTTAGCTGCGTCTTGTCAGGTTCCCCCTTCTCCACTTGGTTCTGCACAAAGAGAGAATGAACTGTGGAGGCAGGTGAGTGCGTCAACGGCTCCGCACCATATATCATGAATTCACCGGTAGAGCAAGTGGACACAATAGCTCGTGACCTAATTCCCAGCGTTCAGTAGGAATAACCGTATTGGTTTTCAGCAGGACCCTTTATCAGAAAAAAAAAATCTTAGAATACCAACAGAAAAGTCCACGAAATCATAAAAGCTTGATTGAAGTGAGCAATAGAGGCGAAGAATATCACTCCTGCCATGCACCTCTCCTGTCCGAAGGTGAGCTTCCTCCTACTTCCCAGTTGTTGGCCCTCAAGTGAGAAATGCAAACCCTCATCAGGGGCTGTCATGAAGATTTCTTCTCTCTTCCTTATTGTCAAAGCACTGACCCAGGGACCCCACCCCTTCAAAATCCCCCACACTTCTCTCCCTCTTCCTCTCTTGCCCACCCCCAAACTCCCTGCCCTTCCCCTTTCTGTGATTTGCCGTCTCTGGGTGGATGTAGAACATGTGGGTTTGGAGGGAGTGGGACCTGATCATCCTCAGAGCTCCTCAAAGGCAGCCTCAGGGTTTTCTGAAAGGTCTACCTGGCTGTGAGACTGTTGCAGAACCCCAGGGGGTCAGCAGTGGAGGTTGCTGAAGATTCTCTGCCTTCTTTTAGGAAGCGGGGATCCTTGGTTTCACGGGTGAAGCAGGGTTGTCACTTTCCTGTCTACCCTGCTCCGTTAGCCCTAGATTTGGTGGAAATTCTCCCCAAATTCAGTTTCTAGTTGTCCTTCAGGCAAGGTGAACCTTGGGCCTTTTTGGTATCTTCCCAAACATTCTGCTACCTTGTACTTAAAGCTGCCACTTCCACGAATCGTGTTGATTCCTCCGAGAACCACGGGGACCCCAGGACTCCTCCTGCCGCATCTACAGAAATGGTCTCATATTTAAATTTCTCTTTACGTTTAGTTTTCAATTTCATCCCTTAGCATGTTGACTTTCAGCTCATGAGATATGTAACATACCATAATTTATACTGGGAGGATAAACCCAAGCATTTTCACCAATACAGTGGCTGTGATCAAAATGGCATGGGGAAGAAGACAGCGTGGAGGCCACTGGTCTGTAAGGTGCTCTGTCACTGCCGCCGCTCCCTCTGGGCCCGGGGCCCCGGGGAGGAGCAGGAGGCCACCTGGGCAGCATCCTTCCCGCCTTAGACTCCCAGCCAGCTCTTCCCCACCTAGGGCTCAGACACAGGTGTGGGGCCCCCTTTCTTTCCAGTTTGCTACAGTCATGACCTCGCTTTAGGATATTACGTTCTGTTCCAGAGCCCAACAGAGTCAGCATTTAGCTAACGAGCACCATATTACTGAGAAGGTAAAAGGCCTCTTTGTTTTGCACCCGGCCCCCCTTGATGGAGGAATGTGGCTTCCTGAGGTAAATTAATTTGCGGAAGGAGTCAGAACAACCAAATGCTTTACAATGAGCAACGCTTTATGCCAGTCAGGCAGAGTGGGGCTCAGGGAAAATATGACATGGTATGTTTTTCAACGAACATCTATGGAAAAACGCTTCTGAAAGCCTTTATTAAGGTAGTCAAGCCATGAGCTCTGAATGGTTCTAAAACGCCCCCTGCATTCTTCCTCCCGCTCTCGTAACATCTTTGGAAGAGATACAAGGGTCAGGGTCAGAGAAGAAAGCAGCACATCGGGATGGCGGAGTGGGGTCCCTGCCCCGGTGGGTGGGGCAGACCGTGCAGAGGGGCACAGGAGCCTCGGCAGGTGACAGAGGGCGAGGCTTCCGAAGAGCAGAAGAGTCCCTAACCAGGGCAACTCGTCAGAGAGAAAAACTGCGTGTGTACGTGTGTGTGTGTAAAACTTTTGTGAACTCATGCTTTTTTATGTTATAAAAGTAATTCATCCTTGGAGTAGAAATTCAAACAGTACAGAGGGAATAGGTAAGCTGGGTTCCATAAGCTGTCAAAAAATCAGATATATAGGGCCCAGCACAAATAACACCCATTTATTACAAAAGCTTTTATTACAAAATCATAAGCATGTAATTCTGTAACAGAACAATATCACACTGAAGCACAATGTATGACATTTTAGGTGAAATGTGCAAATTAAAACTATACCAACCACAGTCGAGCAGGCCGTGCTGCTGCCAGACCCTGTATGTACATGTATTCATTTATAGTGTCCATCTTCAAATGAGATCTCTTATTTTAAAATGGGGGGAAATGCTTTTATAAGGTATTCAAACTAGTCAATCTAAACAATTTTCAAAAGCACCCTCCTGAGTGCTCCATCTCATCTTCTTGAATACTTTTGGAAGAGAAGCCATTTTTCAAAGACAACGCAGTTAAGGTAATAGAACAGATGAAATTTTTTTTTAAATGGAACAATAACAGCCTGGTACATAGAAGATTCTCAATAACTATTCATCAGACTCTCTGTTTGTGAACTAAAACCGTAGTGCTTTCCAAGTCTGCTTCTCTGCCATGCCCATCAATCCTTGGAGCTTCCCAATAGCTTTCAAATGAAACAACAGAGAGAAAGTTTATGTTGTTTGCAGTAAAGAAGGTTAATTACTATCGGGAATCATTTTTCTTCTCCTACACCACCTCCTTACAGAAATATCCATGCAAACACATAAAGACTGTATGAATATTTCATTAGAATATTAGACACCAGACTGCTGGGCAATGGTTCGAGACTCAGGAGGATTCTCCGTAAGAGCCTGGAGCAAGCCCAGAGGTCATTTACTGAAGCCACGGGCAGAAAGACCAAACGAGGAGGATTTCTGCCTGTGTTCAGTGTGGCCCCCCACTGGTTAGATGTCGCCTTCTCTAACTACAGAAAGGAGCCACCCATCTCCAGCCCCAGCATGAGCATGGCTTTCTAGGCACTCGCGCAAAAGAAAACTGGTGTCACACAGAGGAACAGAAATCAGGCTGTGTCAAACTTTTTCTCAACAATACCATATTGCAGAAAGCAAGGGAGCAAAACCATCAGTGTGGGGGAGGAAAGTCTGCAGCCATTTTAGGGGGGGAGCCGAGCTGCCAACAGGTACTGTGCACCTCCAGAGGCAGATCTAATGAAACAAGGACAAGAAATCTCTGAAATGGAAAACTTTACAGTGTGACCTGAAACCTCGGTTAAAAAACTAACCAAGGAACTAGAAAAGGAGAACAATTATTGCTTAGAGTGGAATTTGTATGATGGAAAACCAAATGAGGGAAGATGCATCACAAACACTCAGAGGCAAAAACCAAAGTAATGCCAGTCAGAGGTACAAGGCCATCTTCACAGAGGGTAGCTCTGGAAGGTCAGTATGCAAGTGACAGAAGTGCCTAAAGGCCAGAGGCATAGAAGGAGAAAAATACCATTTACAGAAATAATGAGAGAAAACCCTCAATTCTAGAAAAACTTATATTTTAGGACTAAAAGGCTCATCAACTTCCAAGTTGCATTAAACACCCCCCACAAAACTAGTCCTGGCTGTGTAGCTCAGTTGGTTAGAGCATCATCCCAATACACAAAGGCTGTAGGTTCAATCCCTGGTCAGGGCACATACAAGAATCAATCAATGAGTCATCAATAAGTGGAAGAATAAAATCAATGGTTCTCTTTCTCCTTCTCTCTCTCTCTCCATCCCCTGCCCCCACCTCACCCTCCCTTTCTCTCTCTCACAAATTGATTAAAAAAAAAAAACTAGTCATATCCTGGTGAAGTTTCTCAAATTCAAAGTTAAAGAGAAAGTTCAAAATGTTTCTAAGCACAGAGGAAACTTACAAAGGTAAAGAAATCAGATTGGTCTTAAACTTCTCATCTGTAACAGTGGAAACTAGAAGACAGTGGAACATCACCTTAGATTTTGAAAGAAAAGGACTACATCCCAAGAATCTTATACCCAACCAAGGTATGACTGATTCATGTGGAAAGGCTACTTTTCTGTATATGCCAGGACTCAGAAAGTAAACTGTATTTTCTGGGGGCTGGGTGAAGTTCAAATCAGAAACTAAAGACTGCCAGTTAAGATGAGCTAAAGGGGACAAGAAACTTTGGGAACCTGAGCGTGGTCACATTTGTGGTTGAGTTGAACACCAGTGATGAGAAGCTGACTGAGGGTAATGACATCAGTGTAAATGTCGAGAAAGTCGGGAATGACTAAAAGCTGTGAACGGGGTTCACACGGAGGAGTGTCGGCAAAAGCTTCATGTGGGACGTCACTTATTAGAGGAATACAGGTTTCAGTTTCTTTGGGAAAATTAAAAGTTAATAGTATGGGAGTTAAATTCTCCTACCAAATGACTACCAAGGAAGACAAAGCCAACAACAACATAACGCACATTTCTATGTGCGTGCATCTGTGATGAGTAGGACACACAACGAAGTATCAGCAACAGGTGGCAGGTTTATGGGTACCTTCATTCTTCTTTAATTCAGGAAAACTAATGGAACAATACAATTCTACACGTGGAGGCAGGACAAGTTTTGGCTCCGGGAGGCACCTGAGGTCTGTTTTGGCCTCCTTTGGGGGATGAGCCCTCTGGCGTTCCATACTCCCATTTTCTCGTCCACATGGTTGGGTTGAGATCCCTCTGGGCAGGCTGTTCTGCCCCCCTGGCAGTCCATTCAGGGACGGGTACGTGATCCCAGCTGAGACTCAGAACTCCCATAACGATCTAGCTCTTGTACCGGAAGTCAGCACGAGGCCATCTTTGCCTGACCTGGAATGCAGCCGCATCAGGGAAAATCACTAAGGAAACTGAGGAACAGAGAGAGCCTGGAAGACCAAAAGAGACAGACAACTGGTGACAGGTCTGAGCCCCCCTCCCCTGCTTGCTTACCCCTTAGACCCCCCAGTTGTTTGACTCAATGCATTTATCTTAGCTCGAGCTAATGAGAGTTGGATTCTGTCACTGTAAACTGAAGTTGTGACTATGGCGATGTCCCAGCCCCTCTAAGTGTGGGGCATGTTTACTAGCACCGCCTGTCTGGGTTTACTTTGATTAAGAATGCTTTCCTTCCCTCTATGATATGAGTTCAGCCCAAGATAAATCTTTTTTCTATGAAAGCATCGGCCCTTCGTACTCTCCGTGTGAATAAAGAGAGCTTTGGGGACTCCTCTTACCCTTAGCAAGTGGCTCCTCTGTTCCACCAAAGGGTGTTCTTTGGGAATGGTGCCGCTGACCTCTTCAGGCTCCAAATTCTCATCTGCATTTTTTTGAAGGGTAGGTAGGCTTGATCTTTTTTCATTGTGCTTTGTTCTTCATTTGTACTTCTTTTTAAAAAATATTTTATTTATTTAGTTTTGGACAGAGGGGAAGGGAGGGAGAAAGAGAGGGAGAGAAACATCAATGTGTGGTTGCCTCTCTCATGCCCCCTACTGGAGGCCTGGCCCACAACCCAGGTATGTGCCCTGACTGGGAATTGAACCAGCAACCCTTTAGTTTGCAGGCTGGCACTCAGTCCACTGAGCCACACCAGCCAGGGCTTCATTTGTACTTCTCAAATGGAGAGCCTTGTTCATAGAAAGTCTGTCTCTCCCAGCATCCAGCCTCATCCCCTCTCACTCTGTCCCTCCTCACTGAACTCTGGACACCCTGCTTCTTTCTTTCACGACTTCAGCAATGCCAGGCTTTCGCCTTACTTCCAGGCCTTCGCCCACGCTGTTCCCTCTGCCTGGAACTTTCTTCTGAGACCCTTTCCTTTCTTCATTTGGCTGCCTCTTAGTGTATCCACTGAAATATTAGTTGTAATATTCCTTGTTCCTACTTCTTTGAGAATCCAACCTAAGATCTAGCATCAACTTTCATTTTGCTCTTACTTTTTTCTCATAACATTTATCACAAAATATAATTACACACAGTTAGCTGTGTTTTCATCATCATGTGTCTAATACCTCTTTCTTTTCCTAGACTACCTGCTCCCTGAGGGCAGGGGCAGGTGCTAATGTATCCACAGCTCTAACCGCAGGATCCAGAACAGTGTCTGGCCCACAGTGAACCCCCTCTAGGTAGCTGTTGAATGGATGAGTGTGAGCTCATGGCCAGCCGTGAATACACTGGACAGTTCCTAGAACGCAGTCAGGAGAGGTCCGCTTTCAGGAATAGGGCATCTTTCACGAGCTTGCCAATGAGACACTGCCCAGATTAATGGCCCTTGCATTGACTTAAACACAACAATTAAAAAAGAGTCAGGAAGGAGAGTTTCGAGGACAGTTCTGGAGTCTGGAAGGTACATGTGCGGCATGCAGCTGAGGAAGGCTCCATATTCCCATCAGTCTCTTGCATACGTCAGCTAGAATTCACCTGTATCTTCTACATGGAATGTTTCTGGGCCACTGTTCAACCAGGTTAACTGCGTGACTCATGGCACAATCTCACTTATTTTCACAGTATGAGAGTGTTACCCATTCAAGCCAGAGGACATATTAGAAACCCCTAAGGAGCAAAGTTCTAGGAACTGCCTGATGACGGTGATAGACTGTCAGATCAGAAGGGAAGAGGGTGCTTTTAGTATTGATAACATGTTTTTTAAAAATTTATGAGCATTTTTGTATTATTTCTCAAAGTATAGAGTAATGCCAGAGTAAGGGCTTTAGAGTCAGCAAGACCTGGGCTTGAATCGGGCCCTGCGACTTACTGTGTGACCCAAAGCAAGTTGCTTAACCTCTCTGGGCCTGCAGGAATTTTTCCTCTCAGAAAATGGAGAACAATGTCAGAACCTACCATGTAGGGTTCTAGTGAATCGGTGGGCATTAAAATGTCCTAATCGGCGCAAAATACAGTGCCTGGCACCAATGAGCACCCAACAATAGTCAGCTATTGCTATCTTATTGTCATTGCTATCGTGGATGTAGACACAGTATCCAGACTGGTGGCTGTCAGACACATGGCAAATATCAGCTGACTACTGCTACTCCTTTGGGTCCAGCCAAGGTGATATTCAAATATTTAACAACCCTGGCACAAGCCAATCAGAGGGAAGCTAAGCATTCAACTTTCGGTGGTTAAATCTGTGGGAAGCAAAAAGCCAGGTACCATGAGACAGAGGTGTGGTGAGGAGGCAGGGATGGCTGGGTGGTGGGGCTCATTTTGGGGCTCAGGGCTGTGACTGGCCACCCACCAGTGTGGAAGGGATTCTATGTTTAACAGCCAGGCAGCTGCACCACTGCCCACTAGCTCACCGTGAGCCCTGGAGCTGATACTGAGTTAGATCCCGTGGGATCTAAACCCTCCGGCACTGCTGGTGCTCACCCGGTTTTCTAATCCACCTGTGAGTGCTCCCTCACCCCGCCAGGGTCACGGTCAGGCCTCGGCCTCCCCTTCTGGATGCTTCTTTGGTTACTTTGGCACAGGAACCACCGACTCCCTCCATGCTCAGCGACTCGCAGCCTCAGCAACACCCCTACTATTGCACTTTGCAGGGAGTGGCCTTTCCCTGGAAACTCTTCCCTGTCCTTAAGTTTCACTCGTGTTCCCCTGTGTCCCAGCCTTACCAGGCAGAGGCGGGAGTCCCCCTTCCCCTGTCAGCAATATAGCAGGCATCCATCCCTGTTGTCGGCCATCCCCCAACGGCAGCCTGAGATGCCCAGGGGCCCTGAATGTTTGCCGCCTTCCCACTGGCTGCCAAGGCTTCCAGGCCCTCCGAGGCTGGAGGCAAGAGGGCTGGGCCTGCCTTCCCACCCCCAGCTGACTCCCACTCAGGAAGCGGCCAGTCTCTATTTTGAGCAGAGGAACAGATCACACCTCCCTGGGCCAGGACACCTCTTCCCTTGCCAAGAAACCACATTCTAACTGGGCTTAGCCAGTGATCTTTCAGTTCCGGTCTGCAAAAGCCTCAGGACATTTCAAGTTGCCTAAATCATCTGAGCCTCCAAATCAATCTTACTTTCTCTTTCTTCCCAACGGTCAGCTAAATATAGCTCCACGCACAATAGCTAACCTTGGAGGACTGAGAGCTGGGACAGTCTTGGCCTATTGTCTCAACAGCTGCCCACAAGCGTAGCCAGAGGCCTGCAGCCCCAGCTGGGAGCGGCCAGGAGGGAGGGGCCCACAGTGGGGAGGGCAAACAAGGCCAGCCCCTCAGGCTCCAATGTCCTGGCCCCACTCAGCCATTTCTTTGCTGGGCAGTTTTGGGTAGTTGACTCCAGGCCTCTGAGCTTCAGTTTTTTGCACTGTCAAAATATTGTGGATTTGTTGGGATTACTGTATATATTTGCCAAGAATCTGACTTAAAGTGTGGGTCATAGTGGCTGCTAAAGAAATACTTGCTGTTTATTATATCATCCGGAGACTTTGTGCTTGAGAAAAATGTTCTTGTTCGTTCTCTCTCACAAGTACAGCACACTCGCACGTACACACTCCGGAAAGGTCATTTGCTCGTCATCTTTCTTAATGTTGAACTTTCCTTCATTGATGTCCCATCACTAAGCTTGCTCCTAATGTTTGTGGGACAAAAAGCTGAGTGATAGAGAGGCCCATACACTATGGGCCTAAATAGTAAACAGTTTTACTGGGGTAGAGTTAATAGTATAATCAAGTACACATGGCAGGTTTTGACACAGGCATACACCCATGAAACCCCCACCACAGTCAGACAGTGAATGCATTTAATACTCCCCAAAGATTCCCCCTTAATGGTTCTGCCCTCCTATACCCCTCACCCACCCCTGCCATCCCCAGGCAACCACTGCTCAGCTTTCTGTCAAAGTTAATTTACATTTTTTTAGGGTTTCATATAAATGGAACCATATAGGATGTACCCTTTTGGTTTGGTTACTCTATTTTTACGTAATTATTTAGAGATTCATCCAAGTTGATATACAATGCATGTATGAATATTTTTAAATTTTTATTTATTGAATTAAAGAGAGAGAATAAGAATGGACTTCCAGCTAAGATGGAGGCATAAGCAGATATACTATGCCTCCTCACACAACCAAAAGAAGGACAACAAATTTAAAAACACAAAACAACTAGAACTAACAGAAAATCAAATGGTATGGAAGTCCAATAACCAAGGAGTTAAAGCAGAAACACTCATCCAGATGGGTGGGAGGGGCAGAGATGGGAAGCTGGGCGGAGAGGACTTAAGGCAAGGCAAGGCTGATGGAGTGGGTGGTCCCACATTCCAGTGCAGCTAAATGGGGAGGAACAACTGGGGAGTGAGACAGACCCTGCAACCCAGGGGCCCAGTGCAGGGAAATAAAGCCTCAAACCTCTGATTAAAAACACCTGTGGGGGTTGTGGCAGCGGGAGAAACTCCCAGCTTCACAGGAGAGTCCATTGGAGAGACCCACAGGGTCCTAGAATGTACACAAGCCTACCCACTCAGGAATCAGCACCAGAAGGGCCCCATTTGCTTTGGGGAAGCGGCGGAAGGGAGTGAAATCCGACAGAGAGCAGAGCAAGCACCATTGTTCTCTCTCGGACCCCGCCCCCACATATAGCATCACAACCCAGCAACTGGGTTGCCCTGCCCACGTGAACACCTAAGGATCCACCCCTCACTATGTAACAGGCGGTCAAGACAAAAAAATAAAAAAGGCCCAAATGAAAGAACAGATCAAAGCTCCAGGAAAAAATACAACTAAGTGACAAAGAGATAGCCAACCTATCAGATGCACAGTTCAAAACACTGGTAATCGGGATGCTCACAGGATTGGTTGAATATGGTCGCAAATTAGATGAAAAAAATGAAGGCTATGCTAAGTGAAATAAAGGAAAATGTACAGGGAACCAATAGTGACAGAAAGGAAACTGGGACTCAAATCAACAGTGTGGACCAAAGGAAGAAATAAACACTCAACCAGAACAGAATTAAGAAAGAAGAATTCAAAAAAATGAGGAGAGGCTTAGGAACCTTCAGGACATCTTTAAATGTTCCAACATCCGAATCATAAGGGTACCAGAAGGAGAAGAGCAAGAGCAAGAAATCAAAAACTTATTTGAACAAATAGTGAAGGAGAACTTCCCCAATCTGGCAAAGGAAATAGACTTCCAGGAAGTCTAGGAAGCTCAGAGAGTCCCAAAGAAGTTGGACCCAAGGAGAAACACACCAAGGCACATCATAATTACATTAGCCAAGATTAAAGATAAGGAGAGAATCTTAAAAGCAGCAAGAGAAAAGGAGACAGTTACCTACCAAGGAGTTCCCATAAGACTGTCAGCTGATTTCTCAAAAGAGACCTTGCAGGCAAGAAGGGGCTGGAAAAAAGTATTCAAAGTCATGAAAGGCAAGGATCTACATCCCAGATTGCTCTATCCAGCAAAGCTT